CAAAACATAGAATGCAGGTGTTTGAGAGCAGGGTTGAGGATGATATTTGGGCCTAGGAGAGAATAAGAAGGGGCATGGAGAAAACTCCATAATGATGAGCTTAAAAATTTGCAATCCTCTCCCAATTTGTAGCCAAAAAATGACGTCTTCAAACAAACATTTGTTTACTCCATGTAGTCTGGTAAAAGTTTCCCAATATTTCATTGGAACTTGGTGCCAACATCTTGTGAGCTGTCAGTATGGGGCGATCAGCTAAAAATTACCTCCACACTTATAGTTACATATGGTACCAAGATTTAACTTCAAGAGTAGCAGTAATATTGGAAGGTAAAGTGTACCGAGGAGGATACAACAGAGTATAGTAGTAGGGATAAAGACATAATTACAGCAGGCCATCCATGTCAAGTGTTTCAGAGATGAGTACCGCAGCTACAACCCAGAAGACAGCCGCCTTCACACTCACTGCATTATCAGACTTCATCATTTACTCATGCGCTCCGCAATTTCATTCCTACTGCAAGGCACTGACAGACGCAAATTAACAAGGATGGTGTAGTCTTCTGGTATAACAATTTCTCACGCTGATGGTAAATCAAGAATTGCTTAACATTTTAACTCTTACTAATAAGAAACAAATATGAGCGCTAGTCTCATTTCTGTTCAAAACTTTTCAGCACTTCCAGGAGAAAGGAAAATCAGGACAATAAATCGACTGATGAGGAAGTAAGGCTGTCATCTTTAACTCACTTTTAAAACCTCTGAAACATCAAACTTTTATATAAATTTATAAAAGTGCAAAAACATTGTTAATTTAAGAACATAAAGTCTTTACTGAACATATAACAAACACATAAAATTATAAATTACTCCTGTTGAGGGGATGTTACAGAAATTAAAGGAGGTCTTCCAGTCTTCAGCATGGAGCAGTGTGAAGGGCCTTGCGGAAACCTCAAGTAAAACTTGGGCCAGTGGACATTAAGCTGAAATGAATTTAGATAATACACCAACTCATGTGCAATTAAAGTTTCAGTGTGGCATTACATGAAGTATGGTTTTATAAAGTGCTCAGTGCTTTATAATAAACCATGGTTTCATGAATTGTATGATTTTAATAGACAGACTAATGAATTAAAGTTTTGCCACTGATGGTGACCTCTTTAGGTCAAAACGCGTTTGGCACAAAGTGTTATTTAATGTGTAAACAATTTTGTTTGTATGCATGATTTTATATATTCAAAATATAAACTTTTCTTGCTGTTTTTACCCTTTCAGTTCCAAGGCCTATTTCCACCGTTTTGGTCTACTCACCCAGGCAAATTTTCTCGTATTTAAAGCTTAAAATATAAAAATTCACCAAAAAAAGAATTTTACACACATATTCATGAAAAAATAAAACACACTTATACACTAAATACTGCAGATTAGAATAAAAAATATCTCGTAAATTCTAATTTTTTACTTAACTTAGGAAAAATTTTGAGATACTGAAAAAAAATTCATTCTCAGGATGTAAAAACAAATTGATTTTTGTCTTCCTTCTTCACCACTCATCCTGCAAGAAAGAACATTTATTTCTGCATAATTTTATGTAAGTTTGGTGACTGT